TTACACATAGAGTTTTTATTTATTTATTTAACTTTTATTTATCCAGGTAAACTGTTTGAGAACCACTTCTCATTTACAAACATGACCTGAGTGCATTGCAATATACAAACCTATACTGTATATTCAGCCAGAGTAAAGTGATTGTACATTTTAATCGCGATTAAAATTTTTAATCTATGCTCAAGCAGCACTAAAATTAATCAGAGTTAACTCGATTAATTTCACAGCCCTAATTTTTACAAAAACCAAAATGGTTTTAGATCCGTTTTTAATACTATTTTTACTGTCTGCAGATAACGTCTGAAAAGTTTGAGCTTTTTTCACATAAAACACAGTTTAGTCCTGTACAAAGTGCTGGAATGTGACTGGTGAATTTTTCACCACCAGTAACTGTCTAATGTAACCAGACGAGGAATTTCTGAGCGAGTTATTTGATACATATTTGTCTGATCATACAAAACATTCAGCTCTGGGTGCTGAGTTTTCATGCTGATCTGAAGAGCTTCCAAGAGGTTTCCCTGAAAACCATTATATGTTTGACAAATTGTCACGGTTTGTTTTGCTCTCTGAAGTGCAGAGAAAAAAATGGCATTTTACCTAGAAAAATGCAAGTAATTGTGACTGAGTACATAAAACAACACACATTAAAAGACTTCAGAGCAAAACGACTCCACAGGCTGAAAGGCCTCTTTAAACACTCTGCGGCTGACTTTGTCTCTGATGTCCAACTCTTTCCAGATTACTGCCTCCTGACTGGTGAGCAGGGTTCTAATAACTCAGCCCTCTGTAGACCAGGACATGCTGTTTAAGTCAAAGCTCCCTGCAGATATTAGAACAGTGGAAATCTCTGAGACATTGGTTTAATTATTTGTCCTTGTCTGGTTCTGCGTGGCTACTTGTTAATCTATATTTCATCAGTCTTTATTTCACAGAGATTAAATGTTTTTGATAAAAACATGATTTACTGCTATACTGAAACAACAAACCACAGTCTTCATTTGGATAATGAGCTCCTGTCTTCTTGCAGATGGTTAAAGATCGCTGAAGCTAAACTTACACTGCAAAACCTGTCCACCTAACCAAGTTTTAAAACCTTATATCAGCCAAAAAGTCTTTTTGATCTTGTTTTGAGACTGATTTACTAAACAAGAACTGATTGTGTAAGAATAATCATCTTGTTTTCAGAATGTGTAAGATTATTTGTCTTGTTAGTCTGAAAATTTGACTCAAATTCAGTCAAAATCTTTGCAAATGGAGTAAGAAAATTTTACTTGGTAAGATTCTTGAAATAAGAAAAAATTGAGTCAAATCAAGTATTTCATGAATCTTACCAAGTAAAATGTTCTTACTCCATTGGCAGAAATTTTGACTTAATTTGAGTCAAATTTTCAGACTAACAAGACAAATAATTTTACACATTCTGAAAACAAGATGATTATTCTTACACAATCAGTTCTTGTTTAGTAAATGAATCTCAAAACAAGATCAAAAAGACTTTTTGGCTGATATAAGATTTTAAAACTTGGTTAGATGGACAGTTTTTTGCAGTACTACACACTTTACATCCATTTATATTCAGCTTCTATTTACACAAGTGTTTTTCAATATGAGGAAACTGTATCATAATGATAAAATACATTTATATGATGTAAATTCACTTTGTCTTTTTATTTTTACAAATCCAGCTTTTAATCTACTTCACTGTAACTGTTAATTAACTGTTAATGCCCACCTCTGACATACAAAGGTGGCAGATTATAAAGCTGGGGTCATATTGTTTTCATATTTATTTATTTTTTGAATTTATTTATTTGTTAATTTTATTTTTGGCCAACTGTAGCATGGAAACAGCTGCACCCATCAGCGTGAAATTAGGAATGTTAATATGGCTGACCTACACTGCACTAGCCGACAGTTTTATGATAGACCCCATATTTGAGGAGGGGGCTCCATCTAAAAAAGGGGTGTCTGAACATTCAAAAATGCTTATAACTCAAAAACCATTCAACGTAGCAGCTTCAGATAGTTTTTGTTTAGTTCTAATGAAAGGCTATCCATCAGACTCACCAGTGAGGCCCCCTACCCCCAGACCCCCGCCCTCAACAATAAATCTGTTCTGGTGACTTCTGAGTTCTGATGCATTAGTGCTTTGTGCATGTGTGAGCCTATGAAGCATCTAGTTGTAAAGTGGTATTTATAGTAGCATACTGCATTGCATTGAAATTTATAGAACTAAACTATATAATATCCTGCATCACACCGCCTCGTTTCATAATATTGTATAAAGTCACATGTTTATTAAACAGAAGGAAATAAATGACATTGATTCTTTAGCTTATTTAAAACACTTTCTGTTTCCAGCTTCCTGTTTATGAAGACAAAAGTTTTCTTTCACTTTTAGTCAAGGTGGTGAAACTTGGTTAGAATATTCTGCTTTAGGGAAAAAATATAACTGAATAATTTAATTATTATAAATTGGTATAATGTTTTTCATTGTATAAAATTGTTATATGGTTGTGATTATCAGCCGTAGAGCAAATGATGGTGTCGAGCTCAGATTGATCACAGAGACAACACATAGTTACCTCATGACCTCCTTTTACATCTCATTCAGATTCATCCATCAGTTTTTTTTAAACTCTTTTTACTGCTTTAAAGTGCAGGATCATGGGGTGCTCACAGCTTTTTTCAGTTATTAAAAGGAAATATCAAATCACCATAAGATGTGTGCTTTCTTACTCCACGGAAACTCGTGTCAACATGGAAAGATTCTGCAAACTTCCAACATGCAGCGATACCACAGGTGCTTCAGCACGGTAGTTAAGTGGTTAACACTGCTAACACTGATCTTTTTTTTCTTGCTTTATAAAATGTTGCAAACCATCGCATCATTGTATGCACAAGTGTTCAAAATATTTTGTTTTTCCGACAGGAATTGTTGCTTTAAAGAAACCAAATGTCTCTTTTAAATTCTTTGAATTTCTCCAGAACTTAAAGATTCACGTTGCACTTTAAGATAAGATAAGATAAGATAAGATAAGATAAGATAAGATAAGATAAGATAAGATAAAACTTTATTAATCCCACCATGGGGAAATTTGCACATTACTTCAGCTCAATACAGGAGAAGGTGAGAAGAATAAAGAAAGATAAATAAAAGAAAAACAATTAACGAGACTTTTGCTCAAAAAGCTTGAAAATGTTTTAATTATCAGATTGTATTACCTAGCATTTCACACTGAAGTGTAGACGTATGAACACATCCCATGGAGATGCAGCTGCTGATGGTGTGTCGTTGACTCGGTGTGTTCCTCAGGGAGACCTGCAGACCACAGCTGTGTGCTTTGTGGGCAGCAGAACAAGGTGCTTCTGCAGAGGAATTCAGCACTTTGGACAGCACCTATAAGCTCTCCTCTCTCTTCTATTCTTGTTCTGCACTCTCGCAGTCTAAGCTCAAAGACTTTGTGGTTGGAAATGAAACCACATCTGTACTAAGGTGCAGGAGGTGAGACTGTTTAGGAAACAGAAGGAAAATGAGTCACTTATCAAGATGATGCGCAAGATTAGGATTTATCAAGGAGGTTCTGTAGAACAGCTGGAGTGTGCAAAAACCAAGTGACCATGTGATCGACTGGAGAAGCTAACAGCTAACGCTAAACAGTCAAGAGTCTGGATTTCCCATTACTGTACATGTTGACAACAGAGCAGAAAAAAAGGACTGACGATGTAGAAATCATTAAAACTATTAATAATAAAAAATATTAATCCAATTATTAATAATATTTTACAATTTATATAATCTATCTAATGT